GTCGTGGGATTCAGCAGAACAACAGCACATGTAGCAGGCCTCGCGCTGTACCCTGCACACAGCAAGCCCTCAATAAGCGCCAAGTGTTAGGAGATTTCTTGTTCATGGTTACTCTAAATTTAGGGGACATATTTTAACGTATTCATTCTGGGATCCACCAGCTTCCCAGAAAGGGAGAAACTGGATGAAGCTGACACTAGTCATGACATTAGGTAAAGGTTGAGAAGATAACCTACGAAGACCGCTAAACAAGTTTCATGTGAATTACCGAGATAGCACAGGTCTCGGGCTGGCTCCGTCACATACTGTCCACTGAAGCTAGGTGTGTGGGGAAGACCACAGGTTCAGTTCCCTGGCTGGCCTGTACATGCCAGGCACGCACCCATGGTCCCGGCTGGAGGGAAAGGGTAGGGAGGGATTGTGGTGTGAGACCCTCTTGAGGTGCTTGTCTGTCGATCTGTCTTTCTGTTTCATATGAAGGAAATCAATAAACTTTTAAAAAACAGATCCTAAGGGTGGCTTAATTCTCATTCTGATAAGGATGGCAAGATTGGGTTTGATATTGATATTTCATAGTACAGTTCTTTGCCCCATCCCTGGAAACAGAGGTACAGGTTTTCGACCTACATTTGATCAGTCAGGACATTTTAGAAACAAAGAAGTAGTTTAGGATCAGTTAGGCTGTTGGCTGTAGGGAATGAGGAGTGTGTGGAAGTCGGGCAGCTGTCTTCCTTCGAACCCCTTCATCAGGGCAAAGGCCTGTCCCTCTGGCAGGGCTGGGATGCAGCTCTACCTGTTCATGTCGGACACCTTGCAAGGTGTGTGCAGCGCACCTGGGGGCACCATCGTGACCATAGGCGCAGGGTACCCATGGACCTCTGAGGACGGGTCTGGGAGCTTCCCTCAGGAGGCAAGCCTGAGCAGGCCTAGGCCTTCCAGGAGGCACAGGACCTGGCTGGGGACACTTCTCTTGCGTCAGTGGGGCTACAAGTGAATGCTGCTGTGCTGAGCAAAGGTACCTTCTGGAAGGCCCGGCACGACTGCACAAGGCTCCACCTCCTTTACTGGGCTTCTCACACTTGGGAAAACTAGTCTGCAGGTTTTGGGCTTTGAAATTTTTTATTAGCAAAAGAGTAAAATGCCAATTATTCTCCTTTTCTTGGCAGTACATTGGCACGTTTTTAAATCATTATGTAGAACAACAGTCACCCCAGGCGACCCTGTGGCCTCCTGCTTCATGACGACATGCTCAGCTCTCTTGTCTTCGCCCTCTCCCAGGTACCTGCTGGAGCAGGATTTCCCCGGCATGAGGATTGGTCCAGAGCCCACCACCGACTCCTTCATCGCTGTGATGTATGGCGAAACCGAGGGCAGCACCCCTGGAAATGCTTTGGTTGTGGACCCCAAAAAGCCTTTTCGAAAGCTGAGTCGCTTTGGAAACGCTTTCCTGAATCGGTAAGGACCAGCAATCTGCCGTCTTTGGTTGGGTGTTTAAATCTTTCCTTTGAATGATTGCCATTTGCATGTCAAGTTTCAAAAACAGAAGAAGAGAGACCGCGCTAGAGAGAGAGACAGAGAATACGCTCATCATATCCACGTCTTTGAACGACAGCCACAGGAAACCTGTTCTGGGTAGCTTCCAAGGGCAGAGCCAAGCCAAGTTTGATATTATAAAGCTGCAGAGTGGGGCCAGCAGGTGGTGTGATGGTTAAAGTGCTGGGCTCCTACCTGACCAACCATGGTTGGAATCCCAGACCCAGTGGCTTGAAAAATCATACCAAGTATATGTGTGCACACGTGCCCAACATCCCAAGAGAGGAATGGAGGAGAAGGGATTGTGGTGTGGCCATCCCTCCTGGGAGATGATTTTTCACTTTTCCTAGCACTGTTTCCTCCTGTCTCTCTCCAACGAACGCATGCACCTTATGGCAAAAACCTAAAAAACATAAATGAATAAATAAACTGCATAGCATGAGAGGTTCCTAAGCATTTGAGCTGCACTGAAGTAGATCAGGCTGCCTTACGAGCTAGCAGGCTACCTGTCACTGGTAACGTGAAGTAGCAGCAAGACCCCGACTCTCAGGGCTGGTGTGCTCCAGAGGACCCCTAAAGGCCCCCTGACACTCAGAGTTAGTCTGTCAACTCTGGGGAAGGTCGGCTCACCTCCCTGACTGTCCCTCTGTGTCCCACCCCCGTGCTTTGAGCTGCTCTGTTATTCCTTAGAGCAGGGCCGGGGAAATAGAGGCAAAACACAAAGACTTTGCGTGGCCTTTATTTTACAGATGTAAAGCTGTGTGGTTGCTGGGGTTTTGTCTCTGCTGGAGATGTGTTTGACTTGCACCATCCCCACAACCTCACCCAGGGCTCCCAGTGAAACCGAGGGGCGTCAGGGCTGGGGAGAACAAGCCGGTGGCTGCCCCTGCAGGACAGGATCTGCTGGTCTCTCCCCCTCCTTTCCTCCTCTTAGCTGCCTCCGGCCTGTGCTCTGCTTCAAACCCTGATCTCTCCTTCCCTCTCACTGCTCGTCTCCCCATTTCCCTCTTATGAGTCTAGCTTTAGAGTAGCAGATTTGGGGAAACGGGTTGTCGGAGTGCAGGGCCAGGAGGGAGTAACTTGAGCCTCTTTAGAGAGAGGAAGTGGAAGAGCTGACACAGAGACGTAAGACGCACTTCTCCTTTCTAGAGGTTCTTAAAAATAGGAACGGACCCTCCCAGCTGACGGCCGCCCTCCCGGAGGCTGCTGTGCCTCGTTGCACACCCCAGGGGCCCACACGCAGGCTACGACGAGCCAGGGTACATACACAGTGGCTCTTTCAGTGGTGGCCCAGGCAACCTCCACGAGCTCCTTCTGTGAGAAACTGAACTCTTGAGGGCTCTGGACTTTCCTTTAAAGGCTTTCAAATGCTCTTACTGCACATGAGAGGAAATAGCCAAGTGGTAGGAAGGGAGCTTGGCAGCGGGACGCACAGAGACGTGAGATGACGCCGGTGGAGCCACGGAGACGGTCGTCTCCCGGCGGTGCTCTGTGAAACACTGTCCAGACGGCGTTTTCCACCCTGCAGGCTTCTCCTCTCCAGGACGGGTTTGCTCCTTAACTCCAGAGCAGCCTCAGTTGACTCAGAGTGTGTCCCTGGGGGAGAAGTAGAGGTTAAACCCTGGCGGGAGAGCCCCAGAGGGTCGGTTCTCTAGGTGTTTCAGGGCAGAGTGAGCCAGCGTTGGGGGGAAAGTGGGACAAGAAGCACCTCCCGGGGGCCCAGGGTCACAGGGCAGGCAGCAGCCAGACTTCCTGTCCCCAGACTGGCCTTGGAGGGTTATGGAGGCCCCAAAAGCACAGGACACAGGAGCTGTCTCTGTGGAGGCCGCTCGGGTCCTGTGGTTTTGTCAGCGCTGCCCTTTCCCTAATACTCTTCTGGCCCGACAAAGTCTTTAACAAAAAAGTAAGCTGTCACTCTTTTATTTATTTTTTTCAAATTCCTATTTCGTGAAGTCCATACTAGGGAAAAGCCAGGTTGTTGGTTTGTTTTATTCTGGCAGATGATTTACTCTCCTAAGGAAACATTTGGTTTTCTCACCTCGAATGCAGAGCAGGGAAGTGTGGAAGAGTGTTCGGGAGACCGTGAATTGCAAGGCTTATTGTCGCCAAGATTTAAAATGTACTGACAACAGGCGTTCAGAATAATACCTAGAAAAAGAATAGCCGGTAATTCTGTGGGGTTTACCACATATCAGGTGCTGTTCCAAATTTCGCTGGCCAAAACCCTGTGACATGGTTGCGACTGGTGCCCCAGCGTCAGAAGGAGGAACTGGGGCGCACAGAGATCTGTTCTGTTTCATTCCCTCAGGGCCCCTTAGCGGATCGTGGCAGGGCCGGGATTGGAACCCAGGCCGTTTGGCCACAGAGTCCTGTCAGTGACCACTAAACTAGCTGCCTAATGGTGTGATGCTTGGACAAGTCTCACTGCGCACTGTCCCCTACTTAACTTTTCAGACCCCCTCAGTCGCCCTCCAACAATGATCGACATGATTTTATAGGCACTGCCCTCTCGGGTTAACAAGACAAACGGCATTTCGGCCAGTTTACAGATGAAGAAACTGCAGGCAAAGAAACGACTTGCTCCAGGGGGGCATCGGGGAGGCAGAGACAGGGCTAGGATTCAGGTGTCCTTCTCCCTCCTCTCTCCCCCGTGCCTTCTGGAAGCACCTTCCACAAAGGAGAGTTCCTGGTGGCTGCGAACGCGGAGGGCCCACGTGTAAGGGACGTGCCTTGTGTTGAGTCACAGCCGTGAGTCGCAGCCACGTGACAGTGCCACTGTGACACACAGCTCTTTAGAAAGAGAGTCCGTCAGTGTCGGGTCCCGGCTGTGCGTGCACGGTTATGGCATCTGTCTGGGGTATCGGCAGGGTTAGCTCGGAAGGCGTGGGCCTCTCTTTACAGAGAGGACCTGGCTTTACTTTCCTGAGAACTAAGTCAAAATACAGTACTTGGTAGGAAAGAAAATTGGTTGTTTGCTGTGGAGAGCTTTCTCCCTCGGGCAACCGACAGATCACCCATGGGACGGGGCATCATTACCTGGCTCTCTCATTGCGGGGCATGGGCTTGGGCATCTGCCCCAGGGGCCTCTTTAAAAGTATTAAGAACCTCCCTTGTGAGCAAGCCAGGAGAGCCCAGGTCTGTCTCCAAGGCTAGTTGCTAAGAGAGTAATAGAAGTCCGCTGTATTTCTGAGAAATGAAGGTAAATTTCCCCAAAAGGCAGGTTCGAATCACAGCAGTCCCTTGACAGTAACAGAGGGAGCTGAGTGCAGAACTAAGAGACCAGTGGGACACGCCTCCAGGCTGCCTTACTTCGGGCAGGAATGCCACAGGGTAGACGCCTGTCCTGGACTGCTCCATAGGAATGCAGTCACCGACACTCCAAAGGCTGCAGTCAGGTGGCAGTGGCACCTCACAGAGGAGAGGGACACAACTGACAGCACACAGGACAGTGCAACAAGTGTCAGGGATGCGGGGGGTGACATTTCCCCCTGCAATCTGCTATCAGCTTTTGTGTGCGTGCGTGCGTGCATGGGCGTGCACACAGCAGAACATGTGCACTAGCCAGAGACAGAGAGAGAGGGAAATTGAGAAAGCACACCCCAGGGACATGGGCCACACAGCAGCCCCTTCTCCATTCTCCTCTCAGGATTTTGGGCACACACACTCATTATCTTGCACGAAGCCATATTAGTCCATTCATGAAGCCAATGCCTCCATAAGCCAGGTGCCTCCACCTGGTAGACGTTCATCCTTCCAACACAGCGTCACTCTGGAGACCAAATTCCAAAGCATGAAACTTTGAGGGACAAACCATTATCCAAGCGATGCATACCTTTATGTAATTACATGAAGCTTCATTCAACATATGGGCTTTTTCTTTTCTTTTTTTTTTTTTTTTTTTTTTTTTTTTTTGGAGTTTTTTGTTTTGTGGACCAAAAACAAAAAAATTTTTTTGAGAGGTTTTTTGCTATGGGGCGCGTGCGCTCGCCAGACAGACAGACAGAGAGATATAGAGACAGAAAGCGAGAAATCACCCCCCAGGGGGATGGTCATGCCGCAATCCCTTCTCCTCCATTCTCCTCTCGGGATCTTGGGCACGCACGCACATGCGCCCGGCGTGAGTTTTAAGCCACTGGGTCCGGGACGCGAACCACGGTGGACTACGTGGGAGTCCAGCGACATAGCCATTACGCTAACTGCTGGTTCCCAACATATGGGCTTTTTCAAGAGTTGAATATTACATAGTCACTTATGTAGTATTGGGAATTTTTTTAAAACTGACTTACCACGAGTACACAGCATCCATGCAGACACATGCTGGCTCCACCAACTTCATTGACTGTAGAAACCGAGAAAACAAACTCTTGCTAAGAATCATTCAATTCAGCAGTGAAAAAATATATATATATCTTTTTAATCTGAGAGGATAGCTGTATTTGTGTGTGAATGGTTTACTTATCCATAATAAACTTGTGGAAGTTTTCTGCTAATCTTTAACCTCAGGCCTGGTGGTAGCTCCCAGGTTATTAAGCCATTGTTCTTGGTTGGTGTCTGCCTGGCTTCTAATCCTGATATTCCAGGAAACCAGTGTTAGTTCCTGGGCTCAGGCAGACCTTCCTGGCTGGTTCATTGCACCTGGGTTTTCCCCTCACAGCCCAGAGAGGTCTTAGAAAAAGCGTCTGTTAGTCTGAATCATATGAAATTGCCCGTCTCAATCATCTTTTACCTGTATTACAACTAGGAGCTTTTTATAGAGAGTCTGAATGTAAAATTCAGTTCTCTCTGGGCACTGGAAAGTCGATCAGCATTAGTGGTGGGACCGTGTCGTAATTACAGTTTAGTTTTTAGCATCTTTGTGTAGACTGTGTCCTAGTTACTTGTAAATTTAGGAAGTCATATCATTTCTTTGCTTTTACTCTCAT